TGTCATTTAAGACAGCTTATAAACAAGGATACAGTTTGGTCTTGGACAGACAGTCATGAAAAAGAATTTAATTCTTTAAAATCTCTTATAAGCAATGCTCCTATATTAACTTATTTTGATCCCAAGAAACAATTAACTTTGTCTGTTGATGCATCTAAAAATGCCATGGGGGCAGTAATCTCCCATGATAGAAACCCTATTGCTTATGGTTCAGCTTCACTTACCAAGTCACAGCAAAATTATTCTCAGATAGAGAAAGAATTATTTGCTATTTTGTTTGGATGCACTAAATTTCATCAATATATTTATGGAAACAGAATCACTGTAGAAACTGATCACAAACCATTGATAAGCTTATTTAGTAAACCTCTTTTTAAAATTCCTCCTAGACTTCAGAGAATAATGCTTCGTCTTCAACCTTATGACCTAAATGTTATATACAAACCAGGTAAATACCTATATATTGCTGATACTTTATCTAGGGCAGCACTTCCCGTTAATGAATTGTCTGATTTCGAAGATGATATTAAATTACACATCAATTTATTGATTGCAAACCTGACAATGAGTTCACATAAACTTAATCAAATAGAGGAGGCTACTTCTAAAGATGAAACATTACAAAAATTAATTTATTATTGTAAAAATGGGTTTCCCAACACTAAAAAACTAGTAGAAGATTCTATAAAACCATTTTTTTCAGTCAAAGAAGATATTCATTATACAAACAATTTAGTATTTTTGTCAAATAGAGTTATAATACCTATGTCATTAAGAAAAGAATTTCTCACTTTGTTACATGAAGGTCACCAAGGTATAAATAGTTGTAAGCAGTTAGCTAGAAATACAATCTTTTGGCCTAATATCAATCATGATATAAATAATTATATTGGAAATTGTGAAATTTGTCTTACATATCGAAAAAGTAACCCAAAAGAAAGTTTAATGCCTCATGATTACAAATTCATCCCTTGGTACAAGGTAGGGTTAGACTTCTTTGAATTTGATCATAAAACTTATCTTATCCTAGTTGATTATTTCTCCAAATATGTGGAAATTGCTCTTTTAAATAATGGTTATAGTAGTAGTCATGTCATAACTCAGTTAAAATCAATTTTTGCTCGTCACGGTATTCCCCATACATTAATCTCAGATAATGGTCCCCCTATGAATTCTGCAGCCTTTAAACAATTCACTATAGATTGGAACATTGAACATGTAACATCTAGTCCATATTTAAGCCGTTCAAATGGTCTAGTTGAACGTACCATTGGCACAATTAAAAATATGCTAAAAAAATGTAAATTGGACAATACAGATCCTTATTTGGCTTTACTGCAATATCGAAACACTCCTAAAAATCATTTATGTTCCCCTGCACAATTATGTATGTCCAGAAAGCTTCGATCAAAGTTACCTATATTAGAAAAAGAATTAAAACCAAAAATGTGTAATTATAAACAACTCAAATTGCATAATGATAAATATATTAAAAAAATGAAACAATCTTATAACAAAAATGTAAAAGATCTTGATCCTCTTGATGTAGGAAATCATATAATGTTTCAAAAACATCCTCAATCTTCTTGGACCCCAGGTATTGTTGAAAGTATTTGTTCACAGCCGAGATCTTATATAATTAAAAGTCCTGATGGAACATATAGAAGAAATAGACAACATATCATTAAACCATCTACTCCAAATTATTTGTTTAGTCCCCCTTCCCCATCACATTCTCAGCATATTTTAAATAAAACTCCTGAAAGTCTTGATGCAGATTCTTCTGTTCAGTTAAAAGATCCCACCAAACATTATAGTAGGTCAGGTCGAGAAATCAAAGTTCCTAAAAGATATGTTGTATGAATTAAGGCAAATTTAAGTAAGAATATAAAACTTCAGTTTTAAACACATTGTATTACTTATTATTAAGTTTGTAATTATCTGTGTAAGGACAAATGTAATAGTTTGTTTATATTGTTATTTTTGACAATGTATTTCATTCCTGTATTGTTTACATAATAAAAGGTTATGTCAAACTGTCAATATAAAAATGTCAAACTCAAATGACGTAAAAGTTCTGTTTCATGCAGAATTACTTGTGTTTTGTTATCTATAACATTTTTGTTTAAGTTAATTTGTTTGGTACAATTTTAAATTAGATATTTAAAATACTTTATAAAAAGGGAGATGTTATGTTATATTATCTATGGCAACACTGGCACAACATCACCGGCCCGCCACTAACTTGTCATGTCAATATAGTAAGTCATATATTAATTAAAATAACTATTCAACAAGTCTGTCGTATAATTTAATAAACAAAAACACAATAGTCCATTAAGGTTTAATGACGTCTTTAAGCTCTAATGAATGTCAAATTTGTATTGGTAATGTCGCTTTAAACTAATGACAATTTTAAAGGACGTTTGTGCAACTGGCTGTTAAAATACAAAACAAATGTAAAACTAGGTCACTAAACAAATATGTGTGTTGAATCTCGTCAAAATCGCATTGTTGTTGATCATTGCCAATTAGGGCGACGTCTCACTTCATACTGTACACAATTATGTATAAAAAATGTGTCACTACTTAAATAAAATTCCTTAGTATATTTTTTAGTCCTAATTTGCGTAATTAAAACATGTCTCATTGATACAATATTAACACAATATGAATACATTTTTAGAGAATTATCATTTTTCTCCGAAGAATTCATCTTATCTTGGATGTTCAAAATTCTTTAAATAGTTACGTTATCAGAATAGCGGAACAACAGTCGAGAGTATTGTTAGGGTTGCCAATTTATAATAATGTTGTATTTTTCAGAAAGTATCATCTGTGCCATAAAATATAAAAGAGAATATCTTAGTCTCAAACTAGCTATCTAAAGACTGGGAAATTAGTATTAGACAGCCGAATGACCAACATAAAAAAGCAGCTTGCAATTCGAAAAATGGCAGTACTAGATATAAAAGTAAAAAAAAAATACAAGGGTTAAAGAAATATGGACGACATAAAAAAAAATTGTTAGTTCTTGGAAAAAGTATATCGAACCCTTTAGACAGGTCAAATATTGTATTATTTATACATATAGTGGAACATTAAGAAATATGGATCAGTTGGCATCCCTTAGAGAAGTAGTCGGTAATTTCAAGCCAGTGGGCGAGATCCGGAGTGACATGTGAGGTCGGACGCCTGATTAAGACTGATTTCAAGTCAGTCTCGTGCGTGACGCTACGAGATGACGCGACGTCATTATAAACCATCGACCATGTAAGCGTTGGACGTTCTATATTAGCTGTGACTGTGCTCAAAATGTATGTCTGTTTGTTTAACATGTTATCTGTTTTTAAATCATCAAAAAAGGTTCGAGGCTTTTTCTTTTTATGTTGGAATATTTTAATTTCAAAAGCAACGAAAATAAAGTAATATTATTCGGTCTCCTACAAAATAATTTTTACTAGTTGGTTGAATGTCTTTAAATTTAATACATATATTTAATTACAGAGAAACAACAAAAAACCTTCGGAGTTATTATAACAGTGATTTTCCATTTACACGTAAATTCACAAAAACAAGCTGTGCCTGAAAAATATTTCGTTAATTGAATTTATTAACACAATTTTTATTTTAGATTTGTAACACATATGGATAAAAATAATATTTTAGCCTTAGAATAGCGTAATATATTTTAAAAATAATAAAATGTATTTTAAAAATATAATTGAAATGCAATTTTTAAGTTCTCAGTCATAATAATTCAAACTTGTTAAGAAGATTGATTGAACTTTATTGCTGACTTGAAATTCTAGCAGAAATTAAATTATATTGGGTGGTATTATTATAATAATTTTTAACTTTCTTAATGAAAAATTCTTTAAAAAAACCACGTTGTACCATGGGACTCGAAACCACGACCTTTCACAATCCAGGCAACTGCTCTAACAAACTAAGCTATTCAGGACCTAACAAGACTGACGAGTTTTTCAAGCACTTATTACTTTTTCCTACTACAGAGCGTATTTTTCAACAATTTTCAGGCAATCCATCCAAACAGCCGAAAAAAATACAAAAAATTTATTTGCTTCATCTCCAAATAGGTGTTTTAATAGAGAGTTGGCAAAAAAAATTAAGTAATTAATATTTAAATGTGGTGGAACCAACATTTTGTATAGCTTGAGCTCAGTTGAATAAAAGTACCATATCCGTACTTTCAAACGTTAAAGTGATGGCCTCGAATGGAACAGGCGCGCGTGCTACGTTCTCGTATAATAACGTAACACACAGCTACGATATCAGAAGAAGATAATCTATGTGTAGTGTAATAATAATATAAAAAAAATATCTATTTATTTTTGCATCTATTTTTGTCTGTGTTTACTTCGGAAATATTTAAAAAAACAAAAAACAATTATTAGAACATTATATTAAAATACAATATTTGAAAGCGATATAAATAGAACAATTGAAGTTAAATGTCAATATAGGCATTTTATCGCCACCAACTGACGAGTAGCTTGGATTCAAAAGGATAATTATAAATAGAATTTACTGTTTAGATATAAATTGTCAACGTAAATTTCAAGAAATGTTTATTATAGACTTAGATAATGTCAGTACATTTCAGCTTAAATAGGTTGTCCATTTTCAGGGCGAACGTTTGTAAAAACATTCATTACTTATTTATATTGCGTTTTCGGTTTTCTATACGCAGCTATGAATAATTATTATAAAAAATCAAAACGATACAGCTATTCTCAGATGTGGGATGTAATTACCAAATTCGACTTTTCTTTTACTCAAAACACACTGAGCCTTTTTTGAAACGAATTATTGTCTTCCGTTTTTAGACTAGTTTGTTTTGATTGATCATAAATTGATAAAGTTTGGAAACATGTTGGTGAACAGGGTTATATATAATATACATGAATAATTATTTACAGAAAACTTTCAGTTCAATAAACTAAGTATTTGAATTGTTAATAATATAGTACACTTACTTGGCAACTGGAACATTGGTAAGACAGAGGAAGTTGTTACGGACGCTGCGCAGGCTGGCTAAGACCTGGGCGAACGGCGTCACGATCAAGTCTTCGCCATGGCTGTGAACAAAATTATTAATTAATCGAAAACCCGAAACATAAAGCACTTAATGTTCATCATAAACTCTAAAAATAGCACACTTGCGGATCATAATTACCTATCACATATATATATAATTTCGTCGTAACTATATAAAAGCGGATTATAAAGAAAAAGTTGTTTTGATAAACATCAAAGAAAAACCGCTGTGAAAAATTCTTCTTTATAGTTTAATATTACATTATAGTTTTATATATTTGTCGTACGCAAATATGCACAAATATTAAGTAAATTTCTCTTATTACACGACATACATGGCTCAAAACAAAGCACTATTTAGTTCATGAATCAAATAACTCTAGTACAATAGTATTTTTGTTTTATAATAATGGGGAGAACAGTACTATTAGTGTATTTTGTGATCATCAAATAAATAAATTTAACAATAAAGTCTAAGCATAATAAGCATCAATACAATAAGAGCTACTAACTGCCTACAGACGTTAAGCTTACAAAGGGTAAAACAGAAACAATTGTCAATTTCTTACAGCACAGTATTATAATAAAGTACAAAGACGTCGAAAACAATATTAAATAGGACTTAAGTATTATAGAACAAATGTTGGAAAAGAGCAAAATCTTTGATACATTTAACAAATAAATTCGTGAACACAATTAGAAATAAAATTACTCGTAAGCTTTATTATAGAGTCATTGAGAGAAATGACAAGTAATTTAACAACGGAGTGGGGAGATTTTTTCTTAGAAAAACGAAATGTAATTTGGTTTTCGCAAGTTAATATTATTCTCTATTCTTTTTTATGAAAAAATTATAATGTCACTACAAATATTTACCATAAAATCTTTCTTTTTATTACCTATTTGTAACATTAATGTTACTTAGTCTACATCACGATAGGGATAAATATATATAAGCACATGTTATTTTAAGAAATTCGATATGAGTTTAGTCTAACAAGTTACCGAGATACACTCCAATGAGTATCGAAGTTTAATTGGTTCCAAGAGCCCTTTATTAAGACTATTCAAGATCAGTTTACGTCTGTGCGTATTACGATAAATTCTTTACATTACACGCAAATTGGAGCCTTAATACAAGTTTTTACCTGTGTTTGATTAGGATATTTGCAATAATTTGAATGTTGTGGTCTTGTACTATTAATATAAAGCTCTCTGTAATTTGTTCAGACTATTTTTTGTGTTAGCTTATAAAAAACTAATTAAGGTATTGTATAGGTAGGTATATTTATTTTGTTGATCTTTGAATCGACATATAAAGAAAATCAATGTAATAGAACGAAATTTTTCCACGTTGATTTTTCATATAAAATACCTACTGTCTATACTAATATTATAAAAAGGAAAGACTTGATTGTATGTTTGCATTGAAATACGCTCTGAAAAAATTGATGGAAAAATTCTTTCTTGTACGGGAAGCTACGTCATACGCGAATAACATAGGCTGTAATTTACGCAGGCGCAGTAGCGGGAAAACAAATATTTCTGCAGTAAATTGGCCATTCATTCTAGTGTCATTATAATAAAATCTAAAAAGCTCCTCCATTGATGTTGTAGATTTGATAGAGTTCTAATTTGTGAGTAGTCACAAAATATTTCGACAAACAACATCACATCACATCATCTAATAAAATCTGCTTCATGCTTGTAATATTTGTAAAAAATAACTTATATTGCGTTTACGGTCACATCATTCAAGTTGATGCTGTAAAGTTCTTAGCGCCATCTACATGCGTATGTAGAAAACTGTTGTTGAGTTGTCACATGACATGCACAGATAGCGCTACTATACAGTATGTGGTGGTATTAAAACAATAAAATTGATTTTTAACTATATAATGTTTGTAATCTTTAAAATTTTTGAGAACTTTATCAAGCTCTATCGATGTTTCAAGGTACATGTATGTTACATGTAATAATCTTTTAATATTGAATGAGTCCGACATATTTCAAAATACCTATAGGTATGTTTAAAGAGTTTTCTGTTATATAATAAAAACATAGTTCTCTATAAGTTCATAAACGATCACAGAATATTAAAATTCAAACTGTGAACAGGTATTCTTATATAACAAAATCACTTAATCACTTGGATTAACATAATATTCTGAGCTACTTTCTTATCTCTAAAGTTTGCGTAATACTCATAAAAAGTATGTTACATGTGTGGATTAGTGTTTTAAAATCTTAAGAGGAGTTTATTATTTCCTTTTCTAAAAGACAAAAAAATCTTTTGACGTCCGCGGAAATTCCGAGCATTTGTACTTTCCTTATTTCGTTAATAACATTGCTAATTCAAAAGGCGTTTCTTAAAATAATTGTCGTCTTTGTCGTCGTTATTATTTTTCGACCTTTACGTAGGTATTTTATTTGAAAAGCAAATCGACGTAAATCGGTACAATCAACGAAGACATCATTTAAAAACGAGGATTGATCATATCTTTTTTCCGGTAGCCGTTACAAAAAGCAAAGGAACTATTACATCATGAATTTTCCAAGATCGGCTAAACATTTTTGAAAATCATGTTCGAAAATCGTGTTCTTTTTTCTATTCTTCTATTGCTCATGATAAAAATTCAATCAATCAATTAAATCAAATCATATACCACCCTTAAAACCCGGTTAAAATTTTATTATTATAAAGTTTTTCATTTTAGTGTTGTTTTACTTATTATCAAACTCATAAATTAACTCTTGGTAAATTGTTACTCGTTTTCCTTAGAATGACGCGAATAAAATAATGCTTATAGCTAGGTACTGCCAACTAATATTATCGAATTACTTTAATGTCGGCTCACTAATTAACGATTGTGGTATTGTGGCCTCGGTTGGCTCCTCCGCTTACCGTGTAACAACATACATTTACTGACCATATTATTATCTCAGAATAAAACTAAAATCACAGTATTGATTGCATAACTGAATCAAAGGATCGTAGTAATTGTTTTGTTTTACTGCAAATACAACTGAAAATATCTGTTTCAACCTCTCGGTTGCAATTATGTTTTATGTCAAATTTGACAATATCGCCAACTTTAACGTCAACTTTGAAATGAGTTGCACCATCCTCTTTCTTGGCATAGTAAAACAATAACAAACTTAGGTGGTTATAATGTCATTCAGCCGTTGTCAAACGGTAACTCATTATTATTTGCTTAACTGGTATTTTAACATGTTTGTTATAAGTAAATTTTATATTTTTTATTAAGAATGTTTGTTATCGTTAAAATATATTGGTGTAATGAACCCAATCTGTTATTCAATATGTAATAAAATAAAATTTGAAATATTATAGATATTCCATTTTATTCTTTATTTTATCTTTGCTACTATGTTTTCCTGATGTCTCACAATCCTATATATAATTAAAATTATAATAAAACCTATTCAGCAACATAAATATGCTTGTTCATTAGGGATTATTGATATTCCACCAGCTCGTTTAATACGTATATGTAATACAGAACAAGATTATAATTGATTATGTTATTGTATTGTTAGAATAAAACAGTCTAGTTAGTTTTTTATCATCCAGGATATAAATAGAGAGATAGATTTGTTATTGCTAGTGTTCTATTAATAATACATCCTATTAATATTATAAAGGCGAAAGTTTGTAAGTATGGATGTATGGATGTTTGTTACTCTTTCACGAAAAAACTACTGGACGGATTTGGATAAAACTTTACAGCAATATAGGTTATACATCAGAATAACACATAGGGTACTTTTTACTGGGAAAACTTCTCACTCCCACGGGATACCGACTTCCACGCGGACGAAGTCGCGGGCGTCCACTAGTTTTGCATATTATAAAACAAAGTTGAGTCTGTTACACAGCAGACACGGGTCTTAATACTATAAACAAACATCGAACAGATTCGCCAATAGATGATGTAGGTAATTTATGAGGTTAGTGTGGTATTAAAATTTATTAAGTCTTTCTGTAAGTTGTCTGAAATATTTACATTATTTTTGAAGATTTGGATCAATTTTATTACTTTATGACGACCAACCATTACGTTTATAGAGTGCGTAAATATTATTACCGCTAATTATATACGAAAAAGTCAACATTTTGGAGAAACAAGCTCTCTATATTTTATGCTGTTTATACACGACTTCATCGTTGAGTGAAAGTAATAACGTACATAAATTCATGACCAGTCATAATCATGTGAATTTTCGATCATGTGAAATGACATTTAGTGATTTTGGCCAAGGCACCCTGGAGTTTTGCCCAGTGGATCACGTGTGACGAGCTCGTAACAGAAAACACGTAACCACGGGTTGTAGGGCTACTACAAATCGGTGATTTTACATGTAGTAGCTTATTTTTGGTTCAGTTCACCTTATTCTACGTATTTACAATAACCCCACGATTTCCATTAATACGCCTACTTATCGTATCACGAAGTGATGTATAAATAAATTATAGTTTTGTGACTTTTATCTAAAGAATACTATAGAAAGAAACATTAGAACGAAAAAAAGAGGTTCTAAATTAGACTGTATATTTTTTTATGTATTTCCAGCCGTAACATCAATTTATAAAGCGATTTTAACGTTCTTTTTTATTAGAAAAAAATACGTATACTTTTGAAATAGTGGACTATTTCAAAAGTATACGTATTTTTTATAATATTTTATAATAATATCAAAATCGGCTCCGAATTTGATGAAATTGTTTCAGAAGTTTTATTTTTTATCGAATAAAATATGTATGTGAGGCATCATAGTAAATATATATGTAAGGCATCAAAATAAATGTCGGTAGGTAATACATCGAATATATATTTAAAAAAAACAATAATTACGTATAGACAAAATAATACCGTGTTATTGGTGTATGAATGGTGCATCTAAAGTATAAAATGATATGAAAAATAAGTCAATTTCAATCGAACTCAAACGCCAAGAAAGATTAATAGATACTAGTAATGTATCTATTTATCTTTCTCAAGTTATATAAGTCCTCCTT